GGTTTTAAGTCTCATCTGAAGTATGGCACCTTTTTACAGTATAGTAGCCCCGTTACTATACTGGGGCATTAGGATCCACATAGACCGCAGGGTGAGTGCCCCCTGCTGGCTTCACTAACACCTCTTCCAGCAGCAACCTTAGTTTTCCCCAGGAGGTCTCCCATCCAGGTACTGACCAGGCTCACACCTGCTGAGCTTCAGTGGGCTGCCAGTTGTGAGTTGCAGGGTGAGATGGCTGCTGGCAATGCCAGGGAGGCTGGTGATGGAGACACCAGAAGAAAAATCTACTGCCACCCTGGTCTGAAGTAGAAAGAGATGAGCCTGCACCTGCAGGGGACTATGAGAAATAGAAAGACTGACACTGCCTCCTTGGAAAGAGCCTGCAGCCAACCTGCCGAATGAGGAAGAAACAGACCATAGAATACTATAAACCAAACAGACATGGAATACTATAACCAATACAGAGCATAATAACCAGTTTGTCAAGAATCTGTCAGAGAGTAGTTTTACACACTTTTTAAAATTACTTTATAATTCATACGAACCATGGTAAACAATTCTATCTTGTCGTTTTTAATGTAGTATGAAACAGACTTGATTTTTTTTTTATTTATCATGAGCATGGATAAGCTAGCAGTTTTCTTTTTTCAAATTCCTGCACTACAAATAAAAGGATTACATAAATTTAATTTCATATCATATTCACATTTGCTCCTTTCTTTGATTTAATCTGGTAGCGTTTGTGCAAAACATTTATGTATGAGCAGGTTTCAAATACAAAGGTTGTTGCACAAAGCTAAGGTATGCGTATACGTGATCTGACAACTGGAATCAATTTCCTGTCGTTAAACTCTGTATATTTTTAAGTATATGCAGTACACGAAAACATTTGAGACTCTTAAAAGAATAATTTGCACATATGCATGTTCAGTAAATATAAAGATTTACCTTTTGTGAACAAAAACATAATCGAAATCTTATTTGAGGTATATAGGTTTTATAACTCATGTCTAAACAATAGAGTTTATTTTTAATATAATTATCACCCAATGTATTTAGCCTGATACTTTTCTGTTATGATTAAACCAGTTCAGCCAAAGATCATTTTGGAATAGTCAGGGTTGGCTTCCTTCAACACAGCCATAGGTCCATGGATTTGCTTTGCATTGTAATCCATTCTGTCTACCCATTTATAATCCAGTTCAAGGTCATAGGAGATCCTGAGTCTATCCTGCCAAGCCACGCCAGTCCATCGCAGGGCAGACACACAGACACAAACACGTACACACTCACACCAGGGTCACTTTTCACAGAAGCCAATTCAACTACCAGTATGTCTTTGGACTGTGGGAGGAAACTGGAGTATTGAGAGGAAACCCATGCAAACTTGGGGAGAACATGCAAACTCCACACACATAGAATCTCAGGTCCGGAATTTGATCCAGGGCCCCAGCTAACCACTGTGCCACTGTGACAGCCCTGCATTGTAATCTTCTTCTGAAATCATTTTGTTCTTTAAATTAAGAATCACCAGTTATTTTTGTTTTTAACGCCTGACCTGCAATCACCAATTGGGATTTCTACATCTGTGCTCACAGTTCAGAACCTCATGATCAGAGGTGAGGGGCATCCCTCGCTGACAGAATCCCACTGAAAGTGTGTCGGAGGCTGTCGTGGTCTCTATGTGGCTGAGAGCTGAGAAAATCCTGGCTGACTAATCCCATCCTACCCTTGACTGCCATCTTGGGGAACCTTGGTCACAGTTGGCTCAGTTATATGAACAACCTGTTTAATAATAATTATAGACAAATGAACAATTTAACATTATTGCCATTATTGTATGTGAACCAGAACAAGCAACCAAACTTCCAATGGGGTGAAGTGGCCCTATTACATTGTAAAGCAGGCTTGTTAATACATCTCTTGCAATCCATTAGAAATATTGCTCTTAACTTCAAGACGGTTGTGCCAACAGATACTACTTTCTTGTTAACTACATGCAGATCACATTGAACATTTCTGCGGTGAAATGTCTGCTGCACAACCTGTTTTTATTTGCTCGTACATCACATCACATGAGTCATTACAGTGACTAGTGAGCAGGAAGGGCCGCTTCACATCACCATTCTCGCAAACTCTCACTCTCAACTGTGGTAAGATCAATGATTTGTGACAGCAATGGTGAACACACAGTACTTTCTCAAAGATCATGATTTAAGCTTAATTTAAAATCTGTAATTTTTCTCCATGGCATCATTTAATTTATTTTGTTACTGAGATTTAATAACTAGTCTAAGAAATTGGGACTACAGTTCTGCTTAAAATATCTCTATATGAGCACTATTACTTTCCAAACTATTACTAAAATATTTTTAAACAAACAAGATATATTATTACCATGCAATACAAGGTTACCTAATTTTCCTACTTTTTGTACGTTCTTGCCTCTTTTCATTGAGATTGTGCTGGGCTCTCTGCTGTTATTTGTTAGGGAAACTCAGTATTGCGGCTAAAACAGGGCCTGGTCCTCTTTTGGAGGAATTGTGGTGGTAAAAACGTGTACAGTATGTGCACACATGTGCATGTGCAAGTCTTTTCAGAAACCATTGAGTGTCAGAGTTAAAAGTGTGTATCAGCTAAACTGAGTTTGTGTGTATCAAGCATGCTGGTTACTGTGCCCAATCCAATTCCCAAAGCAGCTGCCAGATAAACAGGGAACTGAGGACATCTGACTTGGACTCACACAACAGACATGGCACAGAGAAATATGGTTCAAGGTAGGGCGAGACCAGCAATGTCAGACTAAAGCGGTATTGAGCTTCCTGGGCTGTCAGCCAAAGA